TTTTGTTTTAATGGCATAGGTGTGAAATTAAGTAGACTCGAGCCGGATTAGAAATGACAAAACATTATTTCCGTCACAGAGTAAGGAATATATTGAACTCTCAACAAAGGCAATTGATGTTGCATCAAACTATCACTTCAAAAAAGGCATGGATGTGCTTTGAGAACAGGTTTTAGGGATGGGTGCAGGCTACAATAAACAAATACTTCAGCCTACAGCACACAATTTCTGAGCTGCTCGGGCAAGGAGAAATGTTCTCAGTGGGGATAGAGGCCATATTTAAATAGTGGTGATGTGGGATGAAGGAATTATGGCAGATCCCCTTTAGGGAATAGGGAATATACTTTGGAGAGCTTTCTTCTGTCAGATTGTAAGTAAGGTGGAGTCTGTGATATGATGGAGGCTTTGTGTATTCTGGGGAGGAGCAAGGTTAATGAGCTAACTGTGTGTTTTCATTCCAACTATTCTTATATTCGTTCATAGTCAAAAAAAATGTCATCCTCCCATTCCATCCTTCCCTCTACCGAGATGGTCACCAGGTAATCTACTTCCAACCTCAGTCAGTGACTTCCAGCAAGTGCTTCAGAATGGCCTTATTTTGGGTTTCTTTACTGGCTTCCTTTCCCTTTCCCTCCCTGGCACTTCTGGAAAAACAACAACAAATTACATTTGTATAGCGCCTCTCACATCAGGAGGCCGTCCCAAGGCCCTGGACAGTCAGGGATACGCACCCAAGGTGGTGGTTGGAATCAGGAGGGGAGGGGGGGAAGGAAGGTGCCTGAAGGCATGATCAAAAAGGAGGGACTTGTGACGGGTCTTGAAGGAGGTAAGGAAGAAGGCAAGGCAGAGGGACTGTAGGATGGAGTTCCAGAGGGTGGGAGTAGAGAGGCTGAAGGGCTGCCCACCAATGGTGGGGCATGCCTGGTGGGGTATGTGGAGCATGCCAAAGCCCACTGAGCAGAGGGAGCGGACAAGTTGATGGGGGGTTAGGAGGTCACAGAGGTAGGGAGGAGCAAGACCATGGAGGGCTTTGAAGTGAAGACCAGGACAACTAGCACGCTGCTCTTATAAATGTGTCATGAATCATATACTTTTTTTTCTTCATCATTAATCGAATTAGGTAAAAGTGTTCGAGATGATCGCATTGTGACTTTTATTTTCACTCTTTTAGAATATCTCAGTCATCCATCTGGTTTATGGTAGAAGTGAAGCGGGAGTGGTGATGGTGATAAACGAACTTGATATATGCCTTTCTGTCATCAAAATCTCTTGTTTTGGTAAAGCATTAGCAGAAACCCATTTGTGCACCTAGATGTGTATGGAGCATGTCAGCAGGGAGTGGAGTGGCTTTTGTTAACTTTAATGTTTAATGCTGCACACAATTCCCCGTGTTTCTAACTACACTAAAGAACAATAATAGCAGGAGCATACACCAAAATTTCCTGAGCTTTATCTTGTCTGCAGTGCCATTGAACTTGCTCAGGCAGCAAACATGTTAACGGAAGTTCTTAACTCCTGCCAAAATAAGGTTTTGTGTTGAATGTCTTTCTAGTGTCATTCCATCTGACAGGATCGCGTGTTCAAAACTTTGCGCACAATAGTAAACCTCTGCTTACAATGTTCATTGTCTTTCTCTGTATGATCATCGATAAGAATTAGCTGCATTAATAGTCCTACTTCTGTTACTGTCCTAACCACCTAAAGTTTTATGGATGAAGGAATTTAACTTTTTCTTTTTCGAAAAAATATATCAGAGTAACCATCACATATGAAAAGGGAAATGAGCTTTAAGCTAGAAAGCACAATGTTGATGTTCTTGCACACAAGGAAAAGTTGGCCATAAACAATAATGGTGCTTACAGAGGCAGGTGACAGCATTGACGGCTCAGTTATATGGCAAACACCAGTTCAAAATGGTACCTGTTTAACATGAGTTGCTTGCTTATGCATATACTGTTGGTTATCGAATCAGTATGGAACCAACACCTTGACACTAATTCTATTCAAGAATATTACTCTTATAAACAGTATTACTTGCAAAAAAAAATCCTTTCAATTGGAGGATTGATTTTATAACAGTAAATCTTGCATTTGATATAGCACTTGATCACATTATCGAGGCGTCTCAAACGTCTCAAAGGATACGATGTAAAGTGATGTATGTGGTGGCTATGTGCATTTTGTGAGAAAGGAGAGAAAATATTTAACCTTTCTGTGAACTGGATGTTTAAAAAATACATAGAAATAGAGAGGAAGCAAAGCATCAGTCTATGCTGAAGAGATTTCAAAAGGGCAATTCATTATTAAGTTTTAGAAAGAAACTTACCAGTGATGTATGTATGGATGTGTGGTTGCTGTTAGTGCAGGAGAACTGTTAAGTTCATCCCACTTACAGTGGCCTCTGCTCAGAACAGAGGGGGTCATTTTCCACTAATGAGATACCAGGATTGGGATCCATGTCAGACTGACATGGATCCCATTTAACATTCCTCCCCCATCCTTTCAGTGACTGAAAGATTTTCTCTTGTGTTGTCTGGCCGTCTGTGGCTGTCACTGTGCTGAATAATTGGGGAATAGGTTAACCAACATGACTGGTTTCGATTTTGATTTCCTTTGATGAAAGTGAGTTGATAGAATTTGAAAGATTGCTGTTTATTTTTGTCCAGCTTCATAGTAGTTAGGATTGCAAAGATAAGAGGAACAAAAGTAGCTTTAAATGTAATATGTTGTGAGAAGATGACTTCACGAGATGTGTTTGCAATGGATGGTGATGGGGAAGACAGTGAAGGTGAAAGCAGCCTCATTATTGTAGCAGAGTGGCTGTGCATCCAGTTTGTCTTTGTCATTGAGGTGAGCAAGTCAATGCAGAGAGTGAGCGAGGCAAAAAATGGAAGAACGTTTGATCAAAGAAAATAACAAACAAGTAGGATTCAGAGCCAGATCCTATTTATTTCATGAAAGAAACGTCGTCACTGTTCATCAAATTAGCACTTAGTCTCCTAAAGACGCCCAAGCTACAAAGTCTTTACCTCATGCAAATACTGACTCTTAGTTCAGCCAGTTGCTGATGTAACATGAATACAAAACATATTCCACTTTGATGTTTTGATGCAAAATGGTCCCAGACAAATGGAGAAAATTGTCTTGGTGACTGAGCGATTCATGGCATCTGTGTACATGTGCTACATCTTCATTGGATGCCTTTTAAAGTGTGTGTAAAGACTGCTGATGGCAGTGTTCCTCCCCTGCATCTCACTGTTCCATCTGGCAGCCAGTTTAGTGCATGTTTAAGGTCTTCTTTATGAGCCAATTTATTTCTTGATATAATTGTTTTGGTAAAAGGGATTGCTTGATTAAAAACAGAAAATTAAAATAACCAGCAGTGGACAGGACGTGTGTGATCAGTAATGAGTCAGCATGTGCAGTGAAACCAATCTGCATCTCATTGGCTTTCATAAGTCAGCATTGAAATGGGCTCTGATAGAAATGCTCCAATTCAAAACGAACTGCAAATCAAATCAAGTTTCTGCTAAAATTAGATATGGATAAAATCAGCATTGTCTTCTCTCCTCTTTCCCTCCATATCCTCCCTCCTCTCTCTCTCTTTATCATAATCCAGTATAAATGTATAGATACCAGATGAAGACCAGGACTGTTGAGAGAGGACTAGAAGGTGATTGTACCCGTGGCCTGAATCAGTGCCCTCAGGAGAGGATGAGGAGTAGGACGAAACAAATCAAAAATATTAAGGATACCCTTCAGTCAGTTGCATTGCTGTAATCAAAATAGATATGATTTGAAATCAGCAGTGAATAGTGAAGACTTCAGTACAAGTCAGAGCACAGGTGTCTCTTCTGCGCTGTGAATTGGTTGGCAGTGTTGCTATCTAGTGGCATCACGTGAAAAGCACCATGCCTGTAGGCCTCTGTGCACCCAACCAGCAGCCTTGTTTCATTAATTAAATGAGTGTTTAATTGGGTGAATCTACATGGAGGCCAGTGGGTCAAAAGGATTCGCTGCTCACTGCAACACAGCTAATGAGAGGGAGACTGAGAACAACGAGGAGGGATGAAGGTGGTGGGTAGCAATTTAACTGCACTCCTCTGCTTGATTAATTTGCAAATACATTTTGGAGAAAGTAAATGGCTTTGAAGCCTACAGTGTTGGACAGTTCAGTGTTTGGTTCTGATTGTTTGATCAGTTGGGAATAGTTGGGAGGGGGTTGCAGGGACTCTTTTATCATGACTAATAGCCCTGCCTAGAATTCAAAATGTGCTTTTGCAGTTGCAGATAACCTGGGATAAGATAAGAGCTTCTTTCTTAAAGAGACGTTGTTCTCGTCGAATATTCTTGGTATTTTGGGGAGTGAGGGGTTTATGTTTAAACACATATATCAGTAGTCAAAATACTTTGTGATCCTATTTGCACATGCCATTGGGATCTCCTTTTGAGATCCGGTTGTCATGTAAAACTTAGCTGATACATGAAATGCATAGATGTGCTTTTTTAAATCAATTTTCTCTCCCCTCCTCCTGAAATAACTAACTTGTGCAGGATTACAATTTCCAAGGCACCAACCCTTCGGTAATTCATCCAAGTCTTCATTCTTAAATCAAGATCTTGAGTGGTGAATGATGGTGGAGTGTGACTGCCCTCATTTGATGCCCAAGCAAATTTTCCTAGCAGTGATCATGAGCTGGAAACCAGGCTAATTTCCTCTTCTTAACCCAAGAGTTTAAGCGCATTTATAGCTCCCCCAATGTTTCAATTGGATTAGAGCTTTTTTTGATCAGCTACCTCAGCACAGGCTAGGCTCAAACCCCAGGTCACCCCCTGACCAGAGACTTTACCAACTAGGGTACGTAACATTGCTATTTCTGTAACATGTTTTGTGTGAGACATTCAAATGCAGTGGTTTGGAGAATCTGTATTATCAAATGATCCTGCTGATTATGGTGTACCATCTGATTAACTTGGTCTCTTAATCTGTTTTCTTTCAGTGGGAAAGACATCGCTGATTACGAGGTTCATGTATGACAGCTTTGATAATACGTACCAGGTGAGCTGCTTGATTGGTTGCGGGAGCCAACTGCCACAGTGCACTTGTCATTTTATGGTTGTCTGTTGTTTAGGACTTATGTTTCCTGGTGCCGGGAGTGTGTGTTTGTAGATGCTTTTAAGGCCAGATGATGAACTATAGAACTGCAAAGTTGTTCCTTTAAATTTGGGGCTAGATTAACTGAGTTGTGTATTTTCACTGTTCGCTCCCTCCGCTCAGCGGGCTCCGGCTTGCTTCGTGTTCCCCCGCCTTGCTTCATGTTCCCCCGCCTTGCTTGCCCCACTATCGGTGGGCGGGCCTTCCGCCACTCTGCACCCACCCTCTGGAACTCCATCCCGCAGTCCCCCCGTCTCAACCCCTCCCTCGCCAACGTCAAGACCCACCTCAAGACCCGCCTCTTCGACCGTGCTTTCGATCTCCCTGCTTCCCATTCTGCCATCCACCCTCCCCCACCCTGACCCCAGCTTGGGTCCATAACTCTGTCTGTCCAGCTCCTTGGGACGTCCTCCTGATGTGAAAGGCGCTTTACACATGTAATTTTGTTGTTGTTGAACCTCAAAAACGACTGGAATTTCACCATGTGCAAAACAGCTTTAGTCAGGTCATTCTCTGCAGTTAAATACAAAACTTATTCTGACGAGATGAAAGAAATGAGGTTACTAGAGTATAAGAAGTGTAAATCGTATTTATAGTGGGGAAAAGTTTATGATATATTGTACCTTGGACAACACACATTTGTGGTTTCATGTGTAGGTTCAGCTATTTGCTTTGTGTTTTGTACTCCAGATCATCTGATGGGAACACCAGAGACCTTCAAAGGTTTTCATTCCACTTTAATTTCTTTGTGTCTTTAATGTTAATGAGACCACAGAGGACTGAGCAGCTGCTGTGGCCGTCTGTTGAATCAGTTTTCTTATTGATATGAATTCAATGTTGATTTCTTTGATCAGATAACGCTGCCATTTTAAACAAGTGGAATTAGTGTTCTGTTTTCCACGTATATGTGTGAAAAGGTTTATTATTGATTGGAGATGCTGAATGCTGGTGCGCAATTAGATTGGGGGAGAGAGGGAGAGAGATCTTCTTTCTCTATCAATGTAGAATAAAGGTGAGAATTTCACCCCATGTACACGTGAAACCAGACAAACTATTGACTAATATTTGAAATAAATGTCATTTGTTGTTTGCTTCGCGAGTAGGTTTCTCAATTGGTTGGCAATGTCAGACACAAGCAGGCTCAAGCAGATGTGTCTCATGCTTTTTCTTTACAAGTAATTACATTTCTGAATTTCTCTGCGCATTCTCTAGTCTTGTGTCTGGATGTTCTGTGCTATTGGAAAATCTGATCAGGCCTAAATTGGCTTTATTTCTTGTTTGGTGAACAACAGATAATTGCTGGTATCAAAACTATTTAGGACAGAAAAGAACGAGTCAATCCATTTTTCGAAGATCGCAATTGCACTTGCAAGTAATCAACAGATGAAATGGTTTAGAAAATAGGATGATTGAGACAAAGACACTGAATTCACAGAAATCGAAGAATCCTAGATATTTCAGCGCAGAAGAAGGCCATTAGCACACATGCCTAATTTATTCACAGTTCATTTAAGAAACAACCCTGTGCTTTAATTAGAAATACAATATAGTTTGTATTAAAGAACAATGTTGTGAAAAGGGCAGAAGAACTTCCTCACTAAACCAATTTTATTTTCTTGTGCTCCACTGTTCTCTGGGGAAAATGAACATGTTATGGAGGTCGGGGTAGGATAGGGATCACTGAAACTCTCACTCGCTGTCTGGACACACCATGCATGTGATGATTATCTACCTGAGGAGAGGAGCTGGTGCTTGTGGAACTGCACCCGAGCATGAGTCATTCCCTCCCAGAGTGGGCAAGGGAGAATTGTAATTTAATCTCTCTGGTGCTGCAACAGGGATAAAATGCTTCATTGCCTGTTTGGGCAGATATTGTGTTCAGATAAGAGCGAGATTCTTACCAAATAAGTATATCATTTTGGAGGGGGTGGTCTTTCATATAAAACATAAAACTTGCCTTGTTTTTTTAAAAAAAACGTACTTTAAAGTGCCTGTTTTTATGTCACTGACTTGTATTATGTCATTTGTGGTTGATCATTGCCTGCTCCTCTGAACATAGATCCTAGAGGCATTCATTAAGGATTTCAGCACCTTGGGACGTCTTCCCGAGGTGAAAGGCACTATACAAATGTAATTTGTTGTTGCTGTTATTTCATTCTCCTTTTTCATCCTCTGAGTGTGACTTTACTGCCCTCCTTGTGATTTTTCTTCCAGTTCTTGTAAACACTAACAGTATTCTATCAGGATTTAAATGCTATTTGTACATGCTTGTGTCAAATTTAAAAGGACTAGAACTGGATACAAAAATGATTTTTTTAAAAAAAGGAACTTGCATTGTTACAATAGTCACATCAAAACATTACAAAGGACTTTGTAGTAATTGATGTAAATGTAGCAGCTCTTTTGCACACAGCAAAGTCCCGCAACTCTGACTCTCTGCCTCCACCCTTGATTCTTTCCTGATTGATTACCTGTTGGACATTAAGAGCTGGCTGAGAGCTAACTTTCTTCAGTTGAATGACAACAAAACAGGAGCCAGCATCATTACACATGAATTCAGTGTGGAAGCTCAGTGTATTTTTCAATGCTCAACTGTTTTTAAATGCCACATCTGTGCCTTGTTGTTCAGCTTTCCCCCACATCCGCAATATTGTCTCTTCCCTCGCCTCCTTCAAAGTCTGAGACAAGACTTTCCTCTTTTTCAGCACTTTTGGTCATCTTTCAATCCACACTCCACCACACAACCCCTACCAAATCTAATCCCCAGCTCGGGTGAAACCCTCAACTGTACAATGCCTTGGGAAATCCTCCCTTTGTGAAAGAAGTTATATAAATGTAATTTGGATTTGTGGTTCTTGTTGATGTTGTGGCAGAGCCATGAGATGAATGGCCAACTTATGTGGCGTTTTCCTTGTGCACAAGACGTAGGGAAAAACTTTTTTTTCTTTTTCCGTAGTACCAATAGAATCTTTAAGGTCCCAACTGAAGAAAAGACAGATGGGATCTTGGTTTAGTGTCTCATGTTAAAATAAAAAAAAGTTGTAAGCAAATAAGCAAGAAATAAAAATTGCCAAAACGGGTGGGGTATGGGGAGGAAGGAATCTGTCCAAAGACAATCGACGTGCAGTTTGTGAACATAGGAACTCCACAGTACTAGTACTGTGCACTATCCACAATGCAAAACATTCTCTGTGACCCTCTGTGATCGCAGTGCATATACTCAGAGCTGCCCTGTGACATTCTATAAATACAACTGACAAGATTTCACTGCACAATGTGATAGTGTAAACTACGCTAAAGCAAGCGATTGTACCTGTTGCAATACTGCAAATGATATTCAGTTTTTCTCCCTTCCCAACTATGTCTGATTTCCTGAACATTGGGGTGGGTGGAATCTAATCGGAGAGAACTGATATGAGGCAGACTGTGCAATTTCTTGTAGTTGCTGTTAAAGGACAGATAAAGGGGTTAAAAGTGATCCAATAATAAAAATCTTGTTGAAAATAGTGAATCAGTGCAGCAAGATAAGACTTAGCTTTGATACTCCAAAGTATTGATCTTTGGATAATTTTGTTTTGAATGGGGAACGCACAATAGCACTGCTTGCCATCCTATCGAATTGTAGACCGAAAACATCAATCATCCAATACTGCAGCACAGTTGTAGGCAAGCCACAAATTGTCTGTTGAGTCAGCCCTCTGCTGAGTTTGAGTCTGAATTTTTCTCTTTGAACTAATTCACACAATTTTGAATTCGCAAATCGCAAAGTTAAAACTTTGCAGAAAAATGCTGACAGATGCACTGACCTTAGCCATGAGTATATTACATTCTCTGATGCTCAGTAAACTTACCGATCTCGAAGCTGTGAGGTTAGAATGGGATTTGTAATGCGTCCCATAGATAGATTTACAGGAAAACATGTTCACCTCTGCAAAACAACACTAAATGGGAGCTGAAATATGGTTGAGTTCCGTTGAAATATATACACGTTTTCTGAACCTGCATAAATTAACTCCTTCGAAACAAAATGGGTTAGAATAGGAACATTATTTGGATGTAGGTAAAAGTAAACGGGTGGAAGAAACAATATTCTCATTTTTTGCTAGATAGACTTTGTGGTTCAGAGTCTCTGTCCACCAGTAGATAGAGTGGATGGGGGTGAAATCAATAATAGTGAGTTTTGAATGGAAGGAGTGCTCTTTCTCGCTTCGCATGGATGAGATTTCAGCAGCAGAAGTCTCTCCAGAGGATTAAGAGTTGAATGTACAAAAAGGGCATGACATATAAACCTCGATATTGCACCATTGTAAATCAAATATTAAATAAGTCAGCTTATGGCTTGATTGGGAGATACTATTACCTGTCACTGATTATTGAAAATGGAATTAAACTGTTTTCAGCCACTTGTGTGTAACATAGAATATCATGAGCTGTGAAGTGTGGACCACCTTTAAGTGACTGTTTTTCTGTTGCCTGTGTTATACAGAACACAGCCTACTCAAGGGCTTCACATTAGATTATAAAAGGTGAGAGTAAAACTTGAGTTGTGAATATAGTGCTCTGACCTTCTCAAGTGTTTGACAGCCCTAAACACGCTTCAGGTATCCTTCTATTTATTTTACATTATTTGCCTGTTTCTTGGCTTCCCCAGTTGCATATTCTCATCGGAGTTTGCATCTTTTTTTTACACACAACTGAGACGTTTTCTTTATTGTGACTGACTGCTACCCTGATAGATGCCGAGTTTTGGAGTCAAGGTTGGCATCACATGATTTTCTGAAGACACTTCAGCAGAAATAAAGTGCCTTTGTGAAAATACCGTGCTCTACTGAGTTATAACTCTTCTTATATTATATGCATTATAGGTTTCTATGGGGAGTAGATTGATGTCATTAATAATTTGA